TTATCTTTCTAATTTTTGTTTTTTGATTTTAGAGTAACAAAATATAGACCCCGTTTTACTCTTCTCCTTTTTATCTTTTTCTATATTATCTCAATCCTTTTATTTTTAATAAAATCTATCAGTTTATCTCTAAAACCACTAAAATTTCTTCTTTTATTCTCTCTTAACTACTTTTTAAAATATCATTAACCATCAAATTTTTTTAAAATCCATGTAATCTTTTAAAATATCTAACAATATCTAATAATGATTTTCTCTAATAATAATATCTTTTTTAATCTTTAAATCCACCAACATTATATCTCCTATTTTCATTTAACTAATTTTTAAAATAACAACTAAATCTTCTAAAATATTTACATAATATCATTTTATTAAATATCCAGATTATTTAATTTGCATGTTTTTCTTTTCTACACCCTCTTAATTAATTTCTACACCAATGAAATACAAATAAAAGACCCTTTTGCCCTAGGAAAAAATATAAAAAAAAAGAATTAACATAACAATTATGTTCTAACAAAAATATACACTCAATAATTTTTAAACAAAAATCCAAAGTCTCAAAACTATTTTATTTTTAAAACCCAAAATTTCACGGATCTTACAAGAAACTTTGGTTGCATATGCTTACAAAAAGTAAGCATTTATACCAATTTCCTCTACAACTCCAATGAATCATTCATTTGATTAAAAAAATATGACAAACTATAGAAAAATCAATCTTCAATCAAAGCTTATGAAAGTCCAACCTCCAAGCAAACTCTAGACTATAAATTGCGCTCATAAATTTAACATAAATAGAAGTCTACACACTTAAAAAAAAACTAAAAAATTGTCCACATATTTACCTTTAACTCTTTCAACCTTGAACCCCTAATTACACTATTAATATTCAACCTTGAACTAATCAACGCAAAGAACTTGTCGTATTTTGTCCATAAAAGAAACAACCTTATCTTCCCTAATTTAAATATGAGAAATTTTCAACAACATTAAATCAGAAACAATATTTGTTTCTTTAGAGTATAAATATATATATATATATATATATATATATATATATATATATGATATATGATATATATTATTTTATATAGAATCTTTTGTTATAATATAATTATATTTTTTATTTTTGTATTGTTGACTAACTCTAATATAAATCCTTTTATAGCTTAGTAAGATGATAATATATTAATTATGATTATCGTATCTTATTTTAATTTTTGGCTGATTCAAATTTTTAATTATGTTTTTTAAAATTATTAAATGGGATTTAATTATATTTTCTTTTTAATTTAAAAAATTAATAGGATAATTTAAATTATAAAAAAAATAAATAAATATATCTATAATTTGTAAGTTTCAATGTGAAATTAGAATTTGTCTTTTTCTCCAATTTTTCTCCAATTTGATTCTCAAACTTTAAATATGAATATATGTACTGCTCATAACTCAAATGCGTTATATTTGTTTAATGTATTAAAAGCTCACGCTTCAGCAATTTATACCATTTGACACACCTAATTCAAATGTCATATGATATTATTTAATACCTAAAAGACTTTATATAATAATATATCATTTATTTTTAAATATTTTGGACTATAATATATCAGTTGAGACATGAATAAGTTTTAATTTTATATTCAAATTTAAAGACAAAAAAATAATTATTTTGCAGTAAAATTATTATTTAAATACTTTTAGTGCAAAAATTTCGTGATAAAATATAAAATTTAATATTTAATTATTTATCTCTCTGAAAATATTTATATGTTTGTCTCATAATTGTTTTGTGGAAAATTAACATAGGTATTCAAAATCAGTGAGAAATATCTTTGGGAAAGACTCTACGTTTTACACAACCGTGAAAAATTATCCATTGGAAATGTGACCTTTCTCACGGAAAGTATATATGAAAAATTATTCATAGATACTAAAATCCGTGAAAAATGTTTCCTACAAATATATTATTCACAATTTTGTTTTTGAAAAGTCGTGAAAAAAAAATATATCCTCCACAAATTTTGAGTGTTCTTATAAATTTTGACTATAAAATATTTTTATTTTTCTTATAATACGTTATATGCATATTATTGGATATTTTTGTACTTAAAATCTTTTTGTTCTAATATAATTTTTTTTATTATTGAAAAACTATAGGATATATATATATATATATATATATATATATATATATATATATATAATAGATAAATAAAATGATATGATAGAATAGTAGAAAATAACTTAGTAAATTAAATTATCAAATAAAACAAATTCTAAAAGATTATATCACCATACTTTCCTTCCTCCCCACGGTGAGGTGGACACATTTTGGCTGCAACTAAATACATTAAAGGAATAGCTTAATTAAGTATTAATTACTTCATGACAAATTCAACTCTTTTATTCAACTTGCTGTGGGATCTCAAAGCCTGAATTAGTGTGGACGCATCCTAGGAAATTCAAGTAGGCATGGATAGAGCCAGGACAAATTGAATAAACATTATTAAAATTTTATAATTTTTAAAATAGTTAAACAATATTCCAATGAGAATATACTTTTTATATAAAGGATCTTACATTTTTTAAAATTCAAGATTACAAATAAAAGTGATTAATTTTATATCTCCTTCTTGATTGTTATAACTTTCACAATAAATTTAATGACGATACTTGCTTGGTTTTTTAAAAGAATATTTAATTACATTTTTTAAAGAACAATAAAAAAAAATTTCAAGAAAATTTAAATTAAAATATAATAATAATAATAATATCTCAGGTTAATTTTGAAAGTTAAAAATATTTAGATGTGAGTTTTCAGTTTTCATTTTATCCATTAGGGTTTTAATCATCACTAAATATATAAAATATAAAGAGTACACTTGCTATTAATTACATATTTACATTTGTTAAGTATATTACACTTTTATTAATAAGAAAAGGAAATAAATTTTAAGTTTAACTGAATTTTGAATCGAAATTAGATATTAAGCGTAAAATTATATATTAATGGATGATATAATCTGTGACATGATATATATATCTAATAAAGAAAAATTAATATTAGAAATAGAGTTCATAATTAGTATTTAAGTAAATATATATATAAATTAATATTTTTTATATAGAAGTAATTATAATACCTTTATTTTACTTTTTAAAAATTTAATTGAAGTCCAATTCAACCATCAAACAAGATTTTAGTTATAACTTTTTGAAGAGAATTAGACTTTAAACTGAGATATGGTTGATATTGTGATATATTGTATTAGTATATCATTTTTATATAAACTGCGATATAGTTGAGATGGTTCTAGCAGAATAATTAAAATATGATTATTGATCAAATCTCAAAAGTCATCCTATGGAATGATTTCCATTAATAAAATCATAATATATAAATAGGTCCTATAAAACCATTGATCCTTTTTGGCACATCTTATGTTAAGAATCACAAAAACTTTCATAGAAAATGAATGTTTGTAAGCAAGACAGTCATGTTTGTAAGCATGTATTTTAAACCAAGTTTTTATGTTGTAAACATTAAAAGAGCTTTATGCCAAGAAGGGGGTAAGGTGGGAGGGAAGGTGTTGAATTGGTTCTTTAAAAGTGTTCAGTTCAACATCTTATGATTTTTTTTCCCTTAAATCTAATTGAACATAAGATTTATAGCTTGCTACATTCCTAGATAGAGTATTTCAACCTATTAAAATATGAAAATAATTGATGAAAATTCTGACAGAAAATTTTATAATATTTCGCACAAGATTTAGATTAAAGATATTATTAATATGATACGAATGATCAATCATAACTACACTAATTTATCAACCGATTATACAATTATACCAAAATTATTATTAAAGATCCAATTTATACATATTTTAAACAAACAATTAAAACTTTAAATTGATAGAAATTTGAAAACAATACACTCAAATTTTATACTGGTTCACACTAGAGGAGTTACATCCAGTTAGTCAAAACAACCTTAAGTTAGAGTTTTCATTAATTCAAGATTTTATAACATCCTTATAATGGAACTCTTGAAAAATACACAGAATACAAGTTTCTTAAATTACAAAAGAAACAATGAAAGCACAACAAAAATCATTCTTGTAGACCTAGACTCATGCTAGGAGCACCACACAAACACAAACACAGACAAAGACACAAGAAAGATCGAATCTCAAGATTGACTCTCCATAATCAATCAAGAATCTTCTTCAAACTCGTAAACAAGGAGTAATCATGACTCCAACACCTCTAGAATGAACATTGTGGATTTGTTCATCCAAATCTTGGAAACGTGCATTTCAAAACTTGTAGTGATCTTTTTGGACCACATTTGATTCAGAATAGTTCTTTCAAATGGTAAATATTATTCTTATGTGGGTTTAAGGAATCAAATCTATGATCATAAGTTCCACACCAATTGGTTTAGCATCATCTTGTCTAACACCACTTGGACGACCTCACTATCAAGAGTTTTAGTTGTTGCACCATCTCCTTCTATTGTAAACTATTGACATGTATAACTATCAAGTGTAAAGTAATGACACCACTTTTGCAAAGTATTTGACACGTATAACTTGACAAACAAATAAATAAATTAAATATTCAAATTATTTAAACATTATTAAATGATATTATAATGTTTGAAAAGATTATGAACCTATATAAAAATAATTAAAATAACTTGTTGAATTTATATGTCACACAGATTTGGCGCTCTTGTGTATTGTGGTACCTTGGAGAGATAACTTTTCAACTATTAACTATTTCATGATATAATTTAAAATGAGTTTGACTTCCTTCTTACTACTTGCAATTGTAGTAAACAATAATAATAAGTAATAATTGTTGTGTTGCATTATTGGAAAGGAGATGGGACTTGAATCTCCATTCGTTGCGAACAACAATGTAATCACACAAGTACAAGACATGTTACCTAATTAAGATAACGTCAAAATAGAAAAGTAAATAGAAAAATGGTGATGTTCGTTGTCTATAAAAGGAAAACCACTCATCTTCGGACTACATCCACATTTGCTCTCCACTTCACCGTATTACAACTTACCCGAATTCAAGAAGCCATGGCCTCTTACCGGTGCACCATGTTTGCTTTCATGATTGCTATTTCCTTTTCAACCTTGGAGATCACATTCGCATCACTTCCATCTCTACTCCCTTCTATAGGAGTCCCACCAGTCGGAGTCCCACCTGTCGGAGTCCCACCTACAGGAGTCCCACTCATACAAGTTCCACCTATAGGAGTTCCACCTGTACAACTTCCACCAATAGGAGTCCCACCTGTACGAGTCCCACCTGTACAAGTTCCACCTATAGGAGTACCACCTGTACAAGTTCCACCTGTAGGAGTCCCACCTATACAAGTTCCACCTGTAGGAGTCCCACCTGTAGTAATACCACCTGTACAAGTCCCACCTGTGGGAGTCCCACCTGTACAAGTCCCACCTGTGGGAGTCCCACCTGTACAAGTCCCGCCTGTGATAATCCCATCTCTGGGAGTGCCACCTCTTGTGGGAGTGCCACCTGTGGGAGTCCCACCTGTGGGAGTCCCACCTGTGGGAGTACCACCTGTGGGAGTACCACCTGTGGGAGTGCCACCTGTGGGAGTGCCACCTGTGGGAGTGCCACCTGTGGAAATACCACCTGTGGAAATACCACCTGTGGGAATACCACCTGTGGGAATCCCACCTGTGAGAATCCCACCACTGCCTCTAATCTGATTGACATAGTTATATTTGCCCACTCTTCCTAATATCCAAGATTCTAGTTGGATTTGGATTGGATATTGGGCATATGTCAATCGCTACATGCTTTGCTTGAATTTCAATAAGTGATTTATATAATGATCGCATAAATGATGTAACTTCTATGTTTTTTGAATTTGAATTTCTTTCTCAGTGTTCCATTTCTATTTCGCTTTTGAATATTTGTATTTCCGTTGCACCTCTGCGTTACTTCATGCAGTGCATTTGCCTAGAGTCGACAGACTCATTACTATGGAATGGATGTGTTTGATCATAAATATTTCTTTCTTCTTCTCTTTCCCACAGTATATGTTAGTTAGTAATTAATGCCCTAACTTCCAAAAACAAGATAGTAGTAACGTGGACATTCAAAATTAAATGAATAAAGTTTTTTTTACGACTTTAATAATCTATACAACTACCTAATATAATATTAAAGTTATCTAGATTAATATACTATTAGAGTAAAATAAAATAGGATTTGTAAAACTATTATTACATGATTAAAATGTATTTTGTTTCATCAAATTAGTTTACCTTACTAAAACCTAAATAATATATTATATTGATCCATGCCTATGACAGGTTGATGAGAAAGTTGTATAATATTCAGAAACATTGAATAACTAAACGATTTATTAATATACAAAAATAATATAAACTGCGTAATTATGTTGGAGAGTCAACTCAAAATACCATTGTAGAACTATCAAAGCATAACTAATATTTATAAAATTGTCTTTTTTATTATAAAGGAACCTTAGTATAAGACTAATTATTTTTTATATGATGATGCAAACCATCATACATGTATAATAAGATGGGAGTAGAATAAACTTTTGTATTTTCTTACAAATATATAAAATTTAATTAATAAAATTTTAATTCTAACGTGAATATTTCTTGCAATTAATTTTTATTGTTAGAATTCATTATTATAACAAAAGTTACATTAACGTAAATATTTCTTATAAGTAAATGTTAGTTCTAAAATTCATTATTATATTAACAAGAAGAACAAGAAGTAAAAAGAAGAAGAAAAAAACACTGAATATATTTCATCAATTAACCAATGTAAAACAAATAACCATTACACAATAAATGGCATTTTAAATTTGAGAAACGGAAACCTAAATAGCTACACCCGTCGTTCTTCCCAGCCAACGTTCATTTGGTTCTTTCGGTCGTGGTCGGGAGGTGTTTGTGTGCGCTCCGTTGACGTTGTGAGGACGTTGGTGTCGTGACCTAAGGTTGCATGGTGCGTTTAAGGATTTTTGTCAAGGGTTCGTGTTGTTGTTGAAGTATTTTCGTTGAACGCTCGTGGTGGACGGTCATTAGTACATTCTTTGTCGCTGCCATGGTGTAGTGTGGCTGTTATGGAGGAAGGGTGTCAAGAATCCCAGTCCTTGAGGTCAGTTATGTGAAGTTGTGAATGGTTTCAGAAATTTAAACTTGTTTTGTAATTTTGGTTTCTTAGGAACTTAGATTTTGTAGACTTTGGTAAAAAGGTTATTTTCATTCCTCCCACCAATTAAGATTCGTAATTCGTAGATTTGCTTTGGATTATGCTTCGAATAATGGTGAGCAATTCCTTTCAATATGTGCTTTCAATACGTGGTTTAATGGAATCTGCTGGCTATTTGAACACTTCAGAACTTAACTCATGGTCTAATGAAAAGTGAATTGGCTAGGAAAGGGTTTAAAGTATGTTAGACTATCAAAATGATTCATTTTGGGAGAATTACCAGTCAGTAGTCTATTTGATATAATTCTTGTATCAAAAACAAAGAAACTATATAACCTGTTCAGTGAGTAGATAGTGCAACCCTGCCTTACATCCCTTTTTTCGAAGTGGATAAGTTGTGTATGCTCTGTTAATAATATATCTGTCATGCCACTAGTTCATTTTACCCTGGGTTGATGCTGTGAGTGGTAGCTATAGTGTAGATCATCTCGTTAATTTATAATTTTAGTGGTTGTGTTAAGAAAGGAATGCATGCTAGAAATTGTTAGGACTTGTTTTCTGGTATTCACGTTGATATTTCACTTGAATGGGTTGTTTATGAATGGTTGTATCTAGGATTATTTGGTATGAGTTTTATACGTTAATAAACCTATGCCCAAATGTGAAATTTGATGTATGTGATCCGGGCCTTGCATTGTCTAAGAGCTTCCATCCTGTTTATAAAAACCTGCATTCTTCCAAAGATATTGTTCCTGGGGTCGAGTCACCTAAATCTGTGGGCTTGGCGCTACGTTCGTCCGATCTTCTCGCCGTCCTCTCTCCCCTTTGTCAAAGTTCGTTCGTCCTGTACGTCTGGGAGGGTACCTGTTAAAGGTGTTCCGAAGCTTAAGTCAATAAAGGTCCGATTGGTTGTTTAGGTACTGCAATAAATGCATAATTAATGAATCTGCTTACCTCTTACCTTTGACCTGTATTTATAGTTTTGATCATGGGTCTGAGATTAGCAAGGCCTTAATCACGGCCCAATCCAGAGCCCAATCCTCTAGTCGGTGCTTAACCTTAATCACTACAGACCTACCTGTCTTGACCGTCCGGTCTGGTTGCTCGAGTCCTACCAAACGTCCCATGTGTTCTGTAGATGACCGTCCGGGGGTCATCTGGTACAATTATGAGTGCATCTTTTTTTTTTTTACAACTGCATTTGGTTGAACTATTCTTCTTTTCAATCTTCTTCTGGGGTGAAATCTTTACGCCTCCACCTAAGATAATTTTCCAAAAACTAATGGTTTGTTAACTTGATGTATAGCTCCATTTTGTACTAACCCTAGCAAGTATTATTTAACACTTAGCAAATCCTAACTAAAAATCCAAATCCAAATTATTACTTGGGATTATAACCACTAATGCATTCCTTAAACAATAAGTCGCTCCTTACTTAAGACAAAGAGAGTATCTCTCTAATCAACATGTAAAAGGTTCCTATAAGTGTATTAGAGGCAATAAAAGCATAAGAAAGGACTATAAGGTTATAGCAAAGAGTTAAGAGCATTTATGTGAAAAAAAAAAAAAAACTAGGTCACCTGATGTTGTTGAAGTACTTGAGAAACACAAGAAAAAAAAAGTTGAATACTGTTTTTGGAAAACGTTTTTCACAACCCTTATGATATAGCACATTGTCAAGCGAGTGAGATATTCTTTTAAAGGCTTAGAAGCTTGACTTAAAATATAAGCTTTATAAAAATCAACATGTTAATCAGAATAATTTCTACTACAGCGTTTGTAAGAACTTCCTTCAAAAATAAAGGATCGTTTAGGTTGGAAATTCTTATATTTTCAAATAAAAAGCTCAACTGCAGGTTATCTAAGATGATCGTTTAGTAAAGAGAATAGAGAATAATAGAAGAGATTTTATATTGGTTCTCTCAAACTAAGCTACGACTTGTTTCCTTCGCAAATAGTTCAACTATAATCTTCACACAATTACAAATGAAAATTAGCACCACTCCTAGTACTCACCTACCTCGTCGAGATATCCTTTGTGTATTAGCACCATTGTTGGTACTCAGCACTCTATCGAGATGTCCTTTAACTGATCACACCATTATTAGTACATAACACTCTGCTGAGATTTCCTTGAGTATTTGAACCACTCTTGGTACTAGACTGCTACCAATGAGGAGCATTGGTATCTTGAAGTGATTTTTATTATGTTACTACTGAAGACTTGAAGAATCTTTTGTATCAATCTTAAAAGCATTCTTTGTAGAAATAATTGTATATGATTTATTTGGTAATTGTAAAATGATCAGAAACATCTCAAACTAGAGTTTCATCATAGTAGTAATCGATTATCTAAGGGGATAATCGATTATCACAAGCTAAAATAGAAAGGGGTTGCTCGCGCAAATAATCGATTATTATTGAGACTTCGGCAAGTGTACTGAATCATACAAGTAATATAAAATGGTAAGACCAAGTATCGTGTCCCAAGAGACTCTCGGCACTAGACAGTTGTGTGATAACTCGATTAATTAAGACTTAAAAGGAATGAAATCATTGGTTTAAAAATCAAAATACAGAAATAAATAAATATGAATGCAGTTTTGATCAATGAAGAGTAGCACAACTGATGAACAAATGAGGGTTTGGGTTATGAGATGAATATGTTGTTGGGGTTAGATTTCACCAAGTGTACTCTCTGGTATATAAGATCTTCTTTCTTTCATTAAAGTCAACAGCACTCACTAAATTACTTAAAACCCGATTTCTCGGTGAAGAAATGCCTATCCTTAATTACTAGTTCATACAATTCCTAGCATTCCTAATAATTAATTCTAAAGATCAAGAGCTTAACGACCAAGACTCATACCCGCATCCCAGAGAAATACTGCTCTTAGAAATAATTCTACAAGAACCTGAATTGTAAGGAACTACGACACTCAGCAATTCATACATCACGTATGAATGAGTTAAACAAGCGAACATGATCATCAGGAAGAATTACCCTAACAGTTAAAGAAAGAAGCATAAATTATTAAGAATCAATTCAAATACATGAGATTCTACAAGGGTTACATCACTCCCCAACAACAAATAAAGAAGTAGTTTACCATTGTCCTGAGAAATATATGTAAAGAGGAAGAGAAGAATAAGATAGAAAAACCCTAAAGTTGAATATGGAAGCTCCCGCACCAAATCCGCCTTCAAAGACGTGGAAAGAGGTGTTGTTGTGCACTCCACTGCCAAGGATACAAAACCAATGGCGACTTGGGTCCCTTAAATAGAGTGGAATCAAACAGAAACGAAGCCCAGGCCCATCTCGCTGGCGTCAACGCCCCACTTGGGCGCCCGAGGCGTGCTACGCACATTTCTGGCGTCAGCTTCCTTGGAGGCAAGCAGGAGTGGTTCCTAAGGACGAAAAGTGGCGCTCAGCGCCGTAGAACGGGTGCCCAGCGGTGTGGGCGGTACTAAAACTGACGCTGAGGGCTCCAAAAAGGGCGCTCAAGTGATG